TTTATGTGATATTGGAGTACATGATTTTATAGTGCAAGGTGGGAATCCAACTGGGACCGGTAGGGGTGGCGAATCAATTTATGGGTACTTATTTTTGCTTTGTAAAATGTATTTTCTAATTTTTGAGTGTGCCTTGCACTTCATTCTTTTCAAATTAATGTTTTCTTTTGATTCCCAATACTCTCTCAATTTTGTAGGTGTTTTATATATCACCATTTTATGGTTTTTAAGGTTTTTTTTCAGAAGAAATAGGGTTAATGCTTAAATTACTCTTATAGAGAAAAAAAAAAAAAAAGATGGTAAAATGTCAAATTTCTGAATAGCTGCGGGTATTGTGGGTGCTCTGAGGTTCTTGTTTAGAATGTCAATCTAGGAATTAAACACATTTTTTTGGGATCAAAAAGGTGTCATTTGGCCGAATAGTATTCACGTGCAAACATAAATGATGCAACTCATGAGCGAACTGACAAAAATTTGTTTCTGCAGACAATCATACAATATTTGGGAGAGTATGTAGATGAATGGAAATTATCAAGAGACTTGGCAGTGTTCAAATTGACAACACCGATAGGTATGCTCATTTCCTGAATATTTTTTTCATCAGATTTTTAAACAAACTACATAGAACAAATAGTAACCAAATTTGGAAAATAATTGCAGGTTACTCTCTTAATCCTCACCAAATTTAGAAAGTAAGTTCCACTTGCATCTTTTACTCAAAAGAACCATCATTAAAATAGTTGTGGATCTGATTTGACTGGACCAGTAGAGTTAGCTTTTCCTTATACAATTCTAACAATTAACAATAACTAGTCAGATTTATTGACCAATTTTCATTCTCTTCCCATTTTGAGCTCCAACTGCAGGTATATCGTGATTAAGTGTATAAATTATATTTTTAACATTCTTTGGCGATTGTTCTAAAGAGAACAATGCTGGTACAATTAGTTAATTGCAATCATCTCTCTATTTTTCTTTATTTATAACTCCGATAGAACTATTGATTTTGCAATAAATATTTGGTCTTTTATGTGGGAAACGATAGGCAAATAAGCAAATGGAGTTTCTTTCTATTTGATTAGACTAATTTTTAAATAATAGCATAATTATATAATATGTTACAAAAAACCTCCACCCACAAGGGTAGAATGCTAAGCATTCCTATTGAAAGCTCATCACTTTACAATAGCTACATTTCTGTATTTTGGGCAACTAATTTTTAGCTTATCCTATACAACTGAAGCCAATATTCAATCTTCCAAAATGATTACAGCCCTGCTATGTCTTTTGTAATTTTTTTGAACTATCTGACATGCTATGAGTATCTGAGTAATTTATTTAAGTTGCTTATTATAAATTTTGTACTTAATTTTCCTAATCTGTGGCTGTTGACGAGGCTTTAGTAATTGAAACTTTCACCATTCAACTCATCTTTGATATTTTCTTCCTACTTCGAAAAGGATTGTCATTTAATTCCTTTAGATATTTTCCTTACAGGAGTATTTTCCTCCAGTTTGGGTTCTATTTTCTCCCATAGATTAGGGTAGATGGAAATGCTCATTTCAGTTTGAAGTATTCTTTCAGG